TAGGCACACCCTCTCTTATCACAGTCATGTGACAAGTTGAGAAAAAGGAAATATCCATACGCTCTAGCTCAAATAATTAACAAAAATATTTGTTTTTTTTCTCTTTTCCTCTTTCTTCCTTTTTTGTGTTTTAAACAAAGAAAATGAAAAACAAAAAGTTGATAAACTTAAGTGTGGAATAATGTGCCCTTCACTCTGACACCAGCAGATATTTTCCAATGCTACTGCCCTCTAGCACCACTGTTCATTGACAGGCCTGAACTTGTCATTGCCCCTGGGTTTGTGTCTCACAGTTTTGTTTAGTTTATTATTATTCTTTGTTATTTAGTTTCTGGGATGAGTCAGTAGTTTTGATTCAGCTGTAGCCATATATATTGATTCCTGTGTTTTGAGTTTTCTGGAGTCTGGATTATTTTTTTATAATTATTTTGTTTGTGTTTTAGAGTAATATTTACAGAGTTTGCAGTATTGTTTTCCAGTTCTGCCGATGTTCTGTCCTTCCCCATTCTGCATTAATCTTTATTCTCAGTATGATTTTATCTTTTCATTTTTTTTTAATAAACATTTTCTAAGTTGAGTTCTTTTTAGGTTGTATTTTGAGCTTGGATTCCTGTTTTGATTTTCATCCCATTATGAGCTATTTATTTAATTCTATCATTGTTTAGTTCCAATACTGTTAATATTGGTGATACTTTGTTACTGTCCTCTATATTTACCTTCTCTGGCTGATGTCTAGCTGTTTGGCTGGTTCACAGGATATTTATACCCATGATGACTTCATGTCAGGTCAGTTCAGTTCAGTTCAGTTCAGTTCAGTTCAGTTTTATTCACATTTAGTTCAGTCACTATGAGGAAGCACTTGTCAACAGCAGGGAGATAAAACTCCTTTTAGCAGGAGGAAGTTTCCAAGAGAACCAAGTTCTGGGAGGAGCAGCTCTCCACCATGACCAGCTGGGGGTGAGGAGAAAGAAAAGAGAGGAGAGAGACAAGACAAAAGGCAAACTACCGAAGAGAGTTTAATAACTGCTAAGTGTTAAATATAGTAGTGGTGCAGAAACAGAAAAGGAGTCAAAAGAGAGAAGAAGAAATGCTCAGTGCATCATAGGAAACCTCCCTCATTTTAAGGTGTGGAGAAATATGACATGAAGGGTCCCTACACTAGTATAATTCATTTGTAGTTGTTTGCGTTTTATAATGAGGAATGTGTGGCTGTCTACGCCTGTGATGGATGCGTCCCTACTGAAACCCAGTTATGATTTCTAGAAAGAACAGCACTTTAAAAAACAGTTTTAACTGTTATTGGGATAACAAAGCATCTTTTAACCATAACAAATTTACCTAAACAGAGATGTGAAAGTTGCTTTCTAATAAGTAATTAGGCCTATATTTGTTATTAACATGTTAAATGCTTGACCTGTAATCTGTATATTCTGTATGTTTCAAGCCAGACTTGAAAGAACTCTTCAGCATTAGTGATGTCTCACATCAACTGTTAAGCTTATTCTAAACTTGT